TTTATTTAATTTATTTTCCAATTATTAAATTTAGTAGAAATTTTGTTATAACTGTTTATTTATGCATATTATTTGTGGCATGAATTTTGTTTTAATGTTTGACATGAAATTGCCGTGACATAAGCATACATATGTATAGTTACTATCATGGAATTGATATTAATTTGATTATTATTTTTATCAAAAAGGTATGAAGCATGTTTAAGATTGGTATGAATTTGACTTAATCTTGGTTTATGAATGTGGTATGTAATATGTTTAACATTTGTATGAAACTTATTTAATTTTGGTATGAACTTGGTATACCTTTTAGCAGGAAAGTTATCATTCAAAATCTCTCATTATGTCTATGAATGTGGAATGAAACATGAATAATATTGGTGTGAAAATGTCTTAATATTGGTTTAGGAATGTGTTATGCGGTGTGTTTTAACATTGGTATGAAACTGATTTAATTTTGGTATGAAGTTGATACACCTTTTAGCAGGGAAGTTATTATTTAAAATCTCTCATATGTATATATGAATGTGGTATGAAAAAAGAATAATATTAGTATGAAACTGTCTTAATATTTGTATGAAGTTTGTCATCTAACTAATATTTGTATATGAATGTGGTATGAAATAGGAATAATATTGGTATGAAACTGTCTTAATATTTGAAGTCATGCATCTGACAAATGTGTCTCAACAAGAGTCAAGTTCAGAGTATGTATTTCTATATTTCATCATAAAAATTAATTCACTTTATTTCTTAAAATTATTTTTCTTTCATTTTGTTTCAGTGATTGTGGTATGTACACATATTTATTTGTTGAATGCATCAGCAATGGAGTTTTTAATATGGGTTCCATTGATATCGATGCAAAGTATCTTCGTCAAAGGTACGCCACAATCATATGGCAGTACGAAAAAACAAAGAACGATGATGGTGCGATTAGTGAGAGTGAAGTAATTGGAACTGTTGCTAGCAAATTTGGTGGACCCGCATAGCAAAAGAACATTCCCCCGGATACCAGCAATTATCCTACACCAAGACCACAAAAATCTAATTTGAGATAGTTGATTGGTAGTAGAAGTTTTTTAAAGTTTTGGATGATATATATTTGTTTTTTCCTACTGTTTTAAGTTTTGGATGATATATAATATTCACTGTTTTCTTCCAATTATATATAATATGCACTGTTTTCTCAAGTTGGATACTAACAATACACAATTTGGACATCAACATTTTTATTGGACTTTAGTTTGAAAGAAACCTCATAAACATAGTACCAAATAATTCATATCCATTGTTAAACTTAACTTGTGGGTTACAGATTGTCTATTATAATTCCGGGATACCAGTTATATAAAAACTGCATACCAATTGGGTTCAACATTAAACAGTTTTAATTTTGGATATTAATTGGAAACCAAATAAACAACACTTAAGATTACATGAAATAAGAGTGCCATAGAATTGGTTTTCAATTTGTATAAAATTGGTATCCAATTCATATATGATTGTTTTTTTTTACTTCATAATCTAAGATAAAAACTAAAAAAATAAAAAATGTATGAAGTTGGTATCCAACCTGTATAAATATTCGAAGAAACGAATCTGACAATGTAAAACAAAAGAAGAAAATTTGGTTTTTGAAATACAAAAAAAAAATCGAGGAGAGAGAAAAATTTGAACAAAAATAATAATATGATTTTTGAAATACTTTTAACAGATTAGAGTAAAAACAGGAAAACAAATATTCCTATTTTGTTTTGAATCTCCTAAATTTATGGCAATTATGAAATATCATTAATGTATTCAAATTAATTACTACAACTAATTTCGTTTTTTACTTTTTCTTAATTTTTAAAAATCATTTTTTATTATTATTTTAAAACTTTTTTTAATAAACTGTTATAACCTGAAATTTTTTATTGTTACAACTTGAAAGTTTTATTATACTGTCATAACTTGAAATTATTAGTCTCATGTATGTCATTTATAAAATTTTCACTTCAATATATTTTAAGGAAAAATTGCCAAGATACACATCTTATTTTACTATAATTTCAAAAATTCCCTCTCGGGTACATCATTTCTCTCTCGCTGATACATCCATATCCCCCTTTCGGATACATCCCTCCCCTATGTATCCGGATGTTCTATCCCCTCTATCATGCATCCCTCCCCTATGTATCCAGATGTTCTATCCCCTTTATGATACATCCTCCCTTCTCGCATACATCCCTCCCCTATGTATCTGAATGTCTGCTAATGTATTCAGAAGTCCAATGATTTATTCGAACTCCATAAATTTTAAGGGATTTTTGTAATTTAAAAAAAGAATAGAAAAATAATGTAATTAGTCTTAAAAGTGTGAATTTATGTAAATTAGACATTTTAAATACATATGAAAAATTACCGTTAAAAGAATATTTATGTGACTCTCAAAAATCAACACACACAAATCGGAACGGAGTGAGTAACAAGGGTAGATTATGTTGCAAAAGAAGGTCAAAGTAGGTGGAAAGGAATTTGAGATGTGTCTTGTCTATTTGTCCGAAATAGGAAACAATTTTACGATTTTCTAGATCTACCATATCTCCACTCTCATCTTATTGTCGATGCACTGTCTTTAAAGCACACTTTGCCTGCCATATATTATCCAACATCCAGGTAGCAGTATATATTATATAGTGATCTAGAAATATAGGCAAGAGAAACAAGCTCTTTTACCATCCACCACATAAGACGTTGGCAAAAGATCAAGCCAAACATAATGTGTGCGTTTCATACGGTGGAAATCTTTTTTATAATTTTTTTTGAGGTTCTATTGGTTAAAATATTTTTAGGAATTAAATTTCTTAAAGACTAGAAAAATGACTTTTGTGTGAATATAGCTAGAGAAAACAAATTCTAGCACTCAAGGACATGGTCACCTAGAACTAGTGGTCATTAATTTATTTTTGAAGAAACATTTTTCTCTCTACCAAAAACACCCATAACATGCTAGCTACATATATGCATAACTGCTCTTTGAAATATACCCACCAGTAAAATCTTTTGGCTATACGACAACATCATGTGGTTGTTAATTAATATGACCAGGCAATGCCATATATATCTCTTTGGACTATGTCATGAAAAGAAAAGAAATGGCTTACTATAAGAATGTATATATATCAAGATTCATGCTAATAAATATATTGTGTTAATTTAAGATACTTTTATAAGATCCTTTCTCACGACCACTCTGATTAGATATATCATCTTGTTAGGTGTTACTGCTATAGCTTTTTTATTAAAAAATAATAATAAATTGTTTCATTATAAAGAAATCTAATATTTAATTTACTAAAATTGAACTGCTTAGGTTGTAGGAAGAATCTTTTAAGATACTTTTATAAGATCCTTTCTCACGACCACTCTGATTTGATGTTTCATCTTGTTAGGTGTTACTGCTATAGCTTTTTTATTAAAAAATAATAATAAATTGTTTCATTATAAAGAAATCTAATATTTAATTTACTAAAATTGAACTGCTTAGGTTGTAGGAAGAATCTAGTAAGTAGTACTTAGTACTTAATTTACAAAACTATTCAATTTCTTAGTTATAGTAAGACTACTATTTTATTTTAGTTGTGAATAAAGACAATCAGCTTGTTGTGTTTGCTGCCAAAATAACATGTGTGTCATAGTCCACCAGAGCTGCGGTTTAATTTGACCCAACAAGCCATCCGCTCTTTCGACCATAAATATGCTACACTCTAAATTGTATTCTATATATCGACGACGAGAGGGAATTGCTCGGATGGTAAGCACCCTTCACTTTCAACTCGAAGGTTGTGAGTTCGAGTCACCAAGGGAGAAAAAGGGGTGGAACTCCTAGGAAGGGTAAAAAAAAATATTCTATATATCGACGCTTCAAACTTACCAACCCCACCCGCCTCAGTGATTAGACAAATAGTATTACATAAACTGAGACGATTCAAACTTGCCAACCCCGCATTCGATATACCGTTACCATGCATCAATTTAGACTGCTTATTAGAACTGAAGTCAGTACTATTCAATTCAACCTGAAGTACAATAATCATAGTTAGTGTCATCTAACTTGTTGCAGCATGATTAATTGTTTTGCTTTAATATTTTTTTTAAAAAAAGGTATTCCTAAAATAAGTGTTGCTTTAATATTTCAAGACAAAGTATTAATTGTTTCCAACTACATGCACCTTTATATTAAAGAACTATTGATTTCTTCTCCATGGTGATTAATTCTCAAGAAACACTATCTAACTAGTATGAGTAACTTAGTAAATTATATCTACATTTATTAGATAAAACGATACTTATTTTGAGACAGATAAATATTTTGCAATAGGTGTGGAGTATGATGCAAAAGAAGGTCGAGACAGGTGGGAAGGAGTTTGAAATGTGTCTTGTCAAATTGGCTCTTGCTTGTCCTAAATGGGAAACAATATCTCACTGTTTTGATTTACCTCATCTTTTAATCACTTTGCCTGCCCTACATTGTCGAATATTTATCTAGCAGCAGATAATCCAGAGATACAGGCCAGATCAACAAGCTCTTTCACCATCCACCCCATCAGTGTCGTATCTTTTTAGGCCAAAACATAGGGTATGTTTGGTAGGGTGCAAATGTTTTCTAACTTCAAAAATAAATAAATTATTTTCTATAAACAAATTGTAAGGATTTGTAAGATCATAATAATAAAGGAAAGAGACATTCTTTTGAAAATAAAGTAAGATAAATAAATTGAAGCATAATAAAGGAAAGAGGGAAATAAATTAAAAGATAAAGTAAGACAAATAAATTTAAAGCAAAGGAGTATTATATTACTCAATAAATTAAAGCGCTAACACCTCCGATCCCAAGAAGTATATTTCCAGTCAACGTTTTCATCACAACAATTTCCTTCTATTTCTATCACATACATAATATATTCCTGATACCTTACGTACCCTAACTATAACTGAAGGAATTAATGTACATGTGATGAAATAATTAAACTACTCTTTCAAATAGCACTTTGGCTATGTGAAAGTTAATTGTTCTAGTATCACAATAAGCTGAGTAGTAAAAGGTTTTGGCAACAGTAAGAAAAGTCTCTTTGATATTGGCATCCAATTTCGAACCATCAGATTCAGATAGCACGAGCTCTGCTAGCTGTTGCATGTCGCCTTCTATTTCCTCACTAAAAGTCAACATTCCTACCTCCTGCTTTTCACTGCTTTGGCTGTCTGCATTTTGTCCCTGAAATTACAGGACAAAATATTAGGCAAATGCTATATATATTTATCTCTTTGGACTTTGTCCAGGAAAAGAAAATAAAAAGTGGCTACTATAAGAATGTATGATAAAAAGATATATATGTACGAGTATACACCTCAAACTAATTAGTGTCCCTAATTAAAGTAAAAAATAAATTGGAGGCCTAACTTTTAATTATGTTTTTATTTATAAGATACAAAGTTATATTTCTTTTGTTGTTTTTTTAATAAAAGGGCTTTATTTTTCTATCATCTTAAAGTAATTTTGCAGCAAATAGAGTTACGTTATAGCTAAGAGATGGAGAGTGTTTTCTAAATACTCAAGTGCTAAAAAAATAAAGTAGAATGAAAAATATAAAACCTTGTAGAGTTGAAAGAGACGGAGTCGTTGAGAAACTGTATTGGTGATTTCCAGTAGCCTTTGGTAAGTTGGATGGGACAAGAATATCTCCTCCGATACCCAGTGAACACTGCACAAATTTAACGTGCGAATTATGAGTTGAGCAGCTCCTTCATCACATCCTTCTCCTACTGTCAGCAGCCAATTTTCCCACTATAGCCATAGACAAAAATTAGTCATGTAATAAAGCAGCATATATATAGTTATACTACACCCAGTACTTACAGCATGACGCAAGTAGTGATGGATGTCTCTGCCATGTGTCAGCAAGGCACTCAGTGAGAGATGGTTTAGGGTTCCAAGAATAACCCCGACGAGCCTCTGTTCTGTGCTGTACCTGTCATTGCCATTGCCATTGCCATTCATCAATCATCACAACATATAATATAATACTCTTTATGTGTGATCAAAATATATAGTGCATGATTGTTACCTGGAATTCAGAGTGGTGCTAGACTGTGTGAATTCGCGAAGAAAGGCAGCCTTGTCCTCTTGTTGGCAACCAAAATGAGACCTCACACAGTCCATAAGAGCTGCGGTTTTGACCCAAGCCATTCGCTCGGTCGACCTTTCAGCCTCAAATATACTAGCACTGCCTAAATAGTACGTCACCAGCAACCTTTTCTCGCTTACTCCAAACTCTCCTAACCCGCATTCGTAGTACCACCTGCATGTGCCCGCCCATGTACTTTACATACTTTACATATATATAAACACTACTTACTCTACTAATTAAGTAATTTAGCGCGCGTGTTGTTATTAACCCCATCCTTTTTCTTTTATAGCTGGCAAGTTCACTTTAATTAATAGAGTAGTAATTTTAATACTTTTGTCATGACTTATAAAATTGGTAACTTACTTGCGAATTCTTCTCCACTCGAACTGGTGCAAAGCTTGGCAATTGTTATAGTCCGATTTCGCTAGCTCCAGGTATAGGCTATTGTTAACAAATGGCATCCTGTATCAAATAAAATTATCAGTACCTACCTAGCTAGCAGATTTCAAACAAAAGGAAAAATAATTAGTACATTCGAGAGGTCAAAATGATTTGATTGTATTGGCTAACGTGGAGGTGTAGTGAAGTCTGACGACAAAGCACATCAGTATCCAATGTTTAGTGTCAATTTATTAACGCTTGTTGTTTTGGAAACAAGAAACTTGATTTTTCCCAATTGTCCTTATATATCTTTGCAAGGTCCCACCATTTCTCAGGGTAATTTATTGGTTGTATTCAATTGTAGCATTTGTTGAAAGAGAAATCAATCATTGATGAGTGTTCATTTAATTTGATAGTGAAACGAAACCAAACAAACAGAGAGACAGACATAAGGTGTGTCTGCCGTCTTTTGCAACTATATATGGTGGGGCTCCAATTACTAAATATATAACATCGCTAGGCTAGCTGCTACCACCTTTTAAGAATTAAAACAACATTTTTTGTTTTTATTTTATCATTTATTGCAACAGTGTAAAAGTTACTCCATATGATTGTGTAACACATTAAATTCTCTCCATTCATATATTATCTTTGTGCAAGAAAAGGTTGTTGTGTAAAATTAATATATTTATCAATCGCATGTAAAAAGTACCTATACAATGTTTTGCCAATCCACACGTCATCTTCACCACCATAATGTTCTAAAAAGAACCTTGTTTCTAGCCTGGGCAGGCTAGCATACCATGGCACATCTAATGCATATCCCACCTGTAAGATATATAATGTTGTAGAAGATCAAACAAATGAATGTGATGAATAAAAAGAAGAAGAAAAAAAAAAACCTTTTAGATAGAGATAATAAGTTCAATTGCTATATATAGGTACCTCTCCAGGTAAATCTTTAGTAATGATCCACTTGTCTAGCAGTTGATTTTGAGCTCGTTTTTCTCTTAGATAATTAGAGGTGAATATTCTGGCATTTTCAAGTATTTTCTCTCCTGAGAACATTACATGAGATGCCCTATAAAGATTATACATTCCTGTCACTGCTTGATTTGATTGCCCCACGAAGCAGAAAAATTCACCTTTGCTCTCAAAATGTTTGAATACGTCTGACAAAAAAAAACAAGTACAGTACATTATGTATCATGAGTACAATAGCTAGCATATACTTTTGTTTCACAAGTATGTATTTGTTTTCTAACTAATTTTATAAATAAATTTGAATACAACTTTAGTTTAAAACATAATTTTTTAAAAAAATAAAATACTAAAGCCAAAGGGGTCTATGGTAGGGAAGTAGATAATTACTAACCAGCAGAGACCACGTAGCCATGCAAGCGCAAAAGTCTAAAAGCCATGGCCGTGTCATCAATGTCTTGAACTGGGGAATTTCTAGCCCAGCAGATTCCTTCATTTGTCCAATATCTTTAAAAACAAAAACATGGAGTACTATTATTATATTCCACTAGCACAATATTAAAAAAATAATAATACTAGCACAAGAAACCAAAAATAAAAATAAAAATGGATACTCCTACTTAGAGGAAACGATAAACCATCACAGTCCACAAATTCCTCAACTTGTTTTTAAAAGTACCTGCTAACGTAATCAATGCACTCTTTTATTTCTGGCTCAAAATATCGAGAAATTCCAAGCCTTTGCAACCGATCAACGGTCCAAATATGTTCAAACAAGTCCACAGGATACACATTAGGAACTGTAGAACATATAAGTCGATTTGAACATCAATATTACAAGTAATATAATATATAGTAGTAATATTTTTTAAAAAAATTATATACCTCCGCCGTTGAAATTGTGGACAGCATTTTTGAGATAATTGAGGCAATTATGATCTTGAGTTTGCATAAGTGCAAAGGCAGTGGAAGATGGAGAGAAGAGAAAAGAGCCATCAGTGCACTGAAATTGAAGCAACTTTTGCCAGTCCAAATCTGTCATTCCTTCCAAACTGTGGAGTAAAGTTGTGGGGACTTTGTGCATAATGTCCTTTGGTATCCTATTATGTACATTGGCACGCACACGTTACGTTATCATTACTCACATCCACATACAAGCTAAAGAAAGTAAAAGTACTTCCACTTTTGTATCCAAAACTACCCTACTAAAATCTGAAGAAGGATTAGATATGTTTTTATTCATAATGAGAAGCATGAAAGATAATAAATTCATGAGCTACTTTTTCTTGTAATGGAAACCCTCTCCTCTCCATATAAAATTAATGTGTTATTTCCTAATTCAGATTTAGTCATGTTTCAATATGAATACTAGATACCAAGTGAAAAACAAAAACGAGAAATAATGTATATCATATATATAAAGTGAAAGAAGAGTAGCTACATATAGGAAGTATAGGTATGATTACCTTGTGAGCTTTAGTTGTCTTCTGGCATAGATGTCTTGCAAGACGGGAGAATCATAAGGAAAATCTAAGCCTAATTTTTTAGCAATCTCAATGAGTGAAGGAAATGCCACTTCAAAGCCTATAGGCATGTGCTCTGCATTCTCATCACCAATCCTGCTCAAATTCTCTCTCATAAACGACATTCCTATAATCACATACGAAATTGTTAGTCAATCATCATTACATCGCGAAACTCTACTACGCCTTTAGTAATATACTTGACACATTCGATATATGTAATAAAAATTAAGATTGAAACATTACCAAGTAGAGTCTTGTCAGGATGCAAGTTCCATGACTTCAAGGCAATAACACAAGCCAATGTGTTGATGACACGATCATAAACCAAAAAAATGGATCTGTCACCCCATGAACCATCAGGCAACTGATTGTTCGCAATCCATTCAACACTTGAAGGGAACTGAGGAGTTTCAGTTCCCTTCACATCTTTCACCATGGCAACCCATGCTGTGTCATATGCCGAGACGCTTATTTCTCCGTCTCCCATCGATCCTAGCATCGACCGAACAGCATCGATATGTTCCTTGTTGGATGATGGATCGTACACCTTTTACATACATACACACACACAATAAAAAGTCAATTATGTGATGTTGATTAATTAAACACCTTAAAATTAGGTCTGAAACACCTTTAAAAGCTAGCGTTTTATTATAATAAAAGTGCACAGTTAATTAAAAAGTTTCTATTTTGGCTTAACAACAACCTCAAGTGTGTGTGTTTCCACGTCCACTTCCTCTGCGATGTCGTCCCACTTGATAACCGGCAACGAACCATTTTGCACCTCTTTGTAGTCTGCATTTTTATTTTTTTGGTGTGAAAAGTTCATAAATATTCTTATAAAAATCGTTTAGAAAGCATGAAAATTACTATATCACCTTTTGTACGACGTCTAGAAACAGCATTACATTGCGAAATTCGATTGAATTCAACATGTTCTCCAGAAGATCTGTTGCCTGTATAAAACAAAAACAAAAACAAAAAAAAAGCATCCATTAAAAAAACTCTGCTATGGACATTTTATTCACGCCACATGTATGAAAAAATCATGCCTTAAAAATTCCGCTAAGGACATCTTACTCATGCATCAAACAAAACAAAAAAGAACAGAGATGGCTATAGATTTTGAATTTTAAAATTGATTTGGACATGAAATTGAAAACATTTCCAAACGAAACGCTAAGTTAAATTAATCCTGATTTTTGATAGAGAAATAATAAAAAAGTTTTTAAATTATTTTTAATCTATATATATATAAGAGATGATAAAAATTGTGCATCTGTCACTAGCTAGTAGTAAAGTTGAAAACGACTCAAAAGCTACTTACTTTTTTATGTGTCAATTAAAGAATTTTAGAAGAAGGAGCAGAGTAGAAAGTAGAAAAGAAAAGCTTACTTTTAAGGAATTTGAAAGGTTGATTTGCTGGAGAAGAAGAAGGAGGAGGTTGATAGTGAGCAGTGAGGCTAAATCTCAAAAAAGAAGCTGAGATCGACATGTTTAAACTTGTTTTTTAATCTGTTGATCAGAAAAACTAATTATAATTATACTAGAGTAATAAAAAGCCAATTAGTAATGATGATATATTTTTTGTTTGTTATGATGATGAGGATTGAGGAATGAAAAAGAGTTAAGAGGATTTATATATATAGAGGGAGAGGGAGGGGGAGGGGGAGAGGAAAAGAAACAAGACAGAAATGACTTCACGAGATATGCCCTTAGTTGGTACATTAGGATCAAATCCAAATACTTACCACTTTGACCAGGGGCGGCTCAAACCTGTTGGTGGCCTAAGACCAAAATCAAACTAGAGGCCTTAAAAAAAAAATTATAAATATTTTTATTTTAAATCTATTTTTCTAGTTTTTTGAGATGCAAAGTTGTTAATAATTTTTGTGTAGTCAATCTCTTCTAATAATTCTTTTTCAATCGATAATATAGCCAAACCACTCAATCTTTCTTGAGACATTATCGATCTTAAATAATATTTTATTATTTTTAATTTTGAAAAACTTCTTTCAGCTGAGGCAACTGTTACGGGAATTGTTAACATTATTCTATAAGCAATGTAAGCATTTGGAAAAGAATCAAGTCTTTTTATTTGATTGAGTATCTCAATTAGAGTATTGTCTTCTACTTTTATGATTTCCCTTAACACTTTTAATTCAAAAAATAAGTCTAAACCGTCAATATCGGAGTGAGTATTATGTTTTAAGGAACATTCAAGTTTAAGACAATATTTTTTCAAATTCTCATCATCTAATGATCTCAATTTCTTCCCACTAAATAGAAAACCAAAAATATTTTCATATACTTCAAATTGTTCAAATCTATTTTGAAGTAAAAAGATGGCTTGGTCTACTATATATAAGAAGTAATCAACTCTAAATGATTCTTCAAGAAATCTTGTGATTTCATTATCAACATTCTCATCAAATTGTTTTTTTCTATAAATTACACATTTCTTACGAAATACAGGTTCTATATTCATCTCTAATGTAATTTCCTTAGCCGAAATCATAGTACTTGTAAATCCTTCTTCTCTATATGTTTTAAAAAAAGAAACTAAACCTCTTAATTGATCTATAGCGACATCAAAATCTACCAAATATTTTAAAACACTATTTACAATATCAAATAAAAAATATAATAAACATAAGACACAAAACAAAAATAATATTAGAAATTAGAATGATATTACCGAATTCAAAAGCTATGAAGACTTGATTTCCAAAAATGAATCGGGCTGCTGCAATATAGTTTTCTCCAAATTTAAAATATAAACTATCAATAGAACGAGTAAATTTTTAAGCTTTGAATAAGAGAGAAATGTAAGATTAGAAAAAAGAAAGTGAGAAGAAATAGAAGGGAGGAGGATAGAATATATAAAAAGAAAATTAGAAAAAAAATAAGGTTAAAAAAAAAGATAAACTTGTACATTAAAAAAAAAAAATTACACAATTTTTTATTGAAAAGTCAAAAAGTCATAGTCATATCTATCATACTATCACTTCATTGAGCCGTTTTGCATTTATTGTCTTGGTTCTAACAATTTCTTTTTTAAAATTTAATCCTTCCTAATTAACTAAAAAATGGGGCCTTTGCATTTATTGTCTTAGTTCTAATATTTTTTTTTTTAATTTAGTCTTACCTAATTAACTAAAAAATGGGGCCCCTATAAGGCAAAAGACTTTTTTTTAAGCCTTACCAGCCGCCCCTGACTTTGACCATACCTTTTTCAAATACATTTTAAACATTTTCCTTTATTTATTTATTTTCTTCTTTTATCTATACATTTTTAAAGTTATTTTTATTAAATATTTATTTGACCATAGCTTTTGAAAGTAATTTTTAAAGTTTTTCCTTAAATATTTCTTTGACTACAAAATTTAATATGATTTTCAATTATTCTAGTTTTTAAAGATTTTCCTTAAATATACTTTGCTCATAAATTTAATCTTTTTTCCTGAAATGTTCTTTTACCCATAGATTCTAAAAATAATTTTTTTAATTTATTTTTTAAAATATTTCTTTGATCATAGATTTTGAAAGTGGTTTTAAAGTAATTTTTATTAAATATATCTTTGACCGTAGTTTGGAAAGTAATTCTTAAAGATTTTCCTTAAATATTAGTTTGACCATAAAATTTATTATGATTTTAAAAAAATGATATTCAACAATTTTTAAAGATTTTCTTTAAATATTCTTTGCTCATAAATTTTGAAAGTAAATTTTTTTTTTCCTGAAATATTTTTACTGGTAGATTTTGAACATAGTTTTTAACTTATTTTTTAAAATATTTATTTGATCATAAATTTTGAAAGTAGTTTTTAAAGTTTTTCCTTAAATATTTGTTTGACTATAAAATTTAATAAGATTTTAAAAATATAATCTTCAGTCATAAATTTTGCTAGTAGTTTTTGAAAATTAATCATCAAAAAAAATAATTTATTATAATTACTCCAACCTTTGATCATGAGTTTTGAAAGTATTTTTTTTAAAAAAAATTCTTAAATATTTGTTTGGTCATGAAGTAAAGTTTGATCATAAAAAATTTAATCTTTAATCGTTGATTTTGGAAGTTATTTTTTAAAAAATTCTCTAAATATCTATTTGATCATAAAAAAATGTGATCTAAAATCATAAATTTTGGGAGTAATTTTTAAAATATTTCCTTAAATAAATATTTGCCATGAAGTAAAATTCAATCTTATAGTTTTGATATTCATTCATAGATTTTGCCATTTTGGAGTAGTTTTCAAAAAACTTCCTCAAGTAAAATTTGGTCATTAAAATTGAACTTTCCTTATAAATTTTAGGAGTTCTTTTTTTAAAAAAAAAAAATCTTAAATATTTGTTTGACCAAGAAGTAATATAACTTGATAATAAAAAATGATTTTTAGTAATAAATTTTGGAAGTAATTTTTCAAAATTTTCATTTTAAATATCTATTTGGACATGAAATAAAATTTGACCATACAAATCTGGTCCAATCACAGTAATTAAAATATTGACCACAAATATCTTTTGATCATGAAATAAAACTTGATGATAAAAAAAATGATTTTTAGTCCTAAATTTTTGGGAGTATTTTTAGTTTTTTTCCTTAAATATCTTTTTGACCATCAAGTAAAATTTGATCATAAAAAATTAATCTTCAATCATAGATTTTAGGGTACTTTTTTTAAAAAAAATCCTTAAATATTTGTTTGACCATGTTTCATCATAAAAATCTAATCTCTAGTCATAGATTTTGGGAGTATTTTTTAGACTTTTTCCATAAATATCTTTTTGACCATCAAGTAAAATTTGGTTATAAAAACTAATCTTTCGTCATAGGTTTTTGGAGTAGCTCTTTCAAAAAAAAAAAACCTTAAATTGATCTCTTATTTTATTTTTTTCTCTCAATCAATTTCAATGGCAGAACCAAATGATGCAGACAAAAATCACAAATTAATAATTGATGTTATCTCAGATAACATTAGTGAGACGGCATATAAGGACCAGCAAACAACAATATTTCAAATTAATGATGACATTGAAGTTGCAAGTCAAGTAGAAGGCTATATAGGTTCTTACTACCTTGCAACTATTGTTCATCCTGTTGGTGCTTATCATTACAAAGTCAAATACAGAACTCTGGTGAATAATAATGAAACGGCGCCACTAGAGGAATTAGTAAGTGTCTATGAGGTCCGTCCTATTCCACCTGATATTCCACATGAAATGAAAATCTACGAGATCGTTGATGTGTATGACAATGAGGGATGGTGGTTCGGTGTAATCACTAGGAAAGTTGAACAAAAGTACTACGTCTATTTTCCTACTACAGCGGATACCGTTGCCTATTCTATTGATAAGTTGAGGGTTCATCAAGAATGGTCTGATGGCAACTGGATAGTTCCTTTACTAGGTTAAGGATATATACATTTTGTCATTCTATTGTCATTTCCAGTTTAGTCGCAATATATTATTACTATGTATGTTCATATGTTATTTCAATCTTCAATATATAAAACATTTTGGGAATTAGTTGTCTTCAAATATTTTCTAACTTCTCACACATTTTTGGAATTTTCATTAACAAAAAACTTTAATTTATTAATCGAGTAAAATGCATATCCAAACACAACTTCAATTTTAAAAACTCAAATTTACAAGCTTCAATCTCACAATTTATAACAAACAAAAATAGACTCGAGAACTGAATGCTACATTTTATTAGCCTTAATGGCCTTCAGACCATATGTTTTTAACATTTACATTGAGAGTTGTTAAAATGAGTGATTCACAAAAAATTGAAGTGATTGTCAAATGACCATGTCTATACTCTATAGTAAGGCCTGAATGGATTTTAAACGTGAGATGTTGTGGTTATCAATGTAATTCACTTGATCATTATTTTATTAACTAGGCCACACTTCTAATGCCATTTCTCAGGCAAATTAAAAAGAAGAAGCTGTTTTTAAAATTACTTACGTACAATATAGCTATACAGAGTAAAAACAAAATGAAGTACTTTTTTCATCCTATTTTATATAATATATTATTTTTTGTTTATATAAAAAAGAATAACATATATACTTATTTATTTAAAAATAATTTTATTTTAAACTTTTTATTATACACCTTTAATAAGATAATTAAATAGTTATGTAATATTAAAAAAATAGAAAAATATTTCTTTTGTAAAATAAGTGTGTCAGTCAAACATCATTATATTTGTATATATATTTTGAAATGAAGGTAACATTATTATTTTTCTGATTACGAACTCCCAAATTTAAAGGGCTAAAGTTTAAAATTTCAAATCTACGATTTTCAACCTCAATAATTCTACAATTTTAATTTTGAGAAGGCTAAACTTTAAAAACCTTATAAATTCAACTATTATTTAAATAGGGTCCTAAAAACTGAATTTTGTGTACTTTTCCCTGCACTATTGGACAAGTACTCAATATTTACTTTCAATTCAAATACACCAAAATTAAATACCAGAAGTCCAGAAGACTACTTAATATTTGATGATCTAAGGAATTAATTAATGTTTCATGCTATTCCACAAGTATATAACAATATTCAATCGTTAATAA